GGCAGCCCCGGGGGCTTTCCCCTCTTCCTCCCTACGGTTTTCCTCCCCAGGGTGTGCCACAGCCTGAAGGGAGCCGAGGGAAACGTTTCCAAAGGGATGAGCCGGGGGTCGTACGTGGCATGGCTGCCCGGACTGCGCTGCCGTCAGGGACCATCGCGCCAAAACGGTCCAGCTGCCCGCGCAGTGCCTCGTCTTCCCCCGCTTTGCCTTGCCTGCCGCTCCTCGTGGAGGCCAGAGGGGTGCCGCCGCACCGGGGGACGGCGGGGACGAGGGCCGGGGTGTCAGCGCTTCGTCGCGAGCTTGTTCTCACATCGTCGCTTCTGGCCCCCAAACGAGGCCTAACAGCAAAATTTTGGCCGAGAACAGCAGCCATCGTCTCATCGAGCCCGATCCGTAGCCTGTCTGATCCGTTACGCTGTCCCAACTGCTCTACCGGTTCCCAGGATTGCACCACACGAGGACATGGCTCCGGGCCGGGGTGTCAGCGCTTCGTCGCGAGCTTGTTCTCACATCGTCGCTTCTGGCCCCCAAACGAGGCCTAACAGCAAAATTTTGGCCGAGAACAGCAGCCATCGTCTCATCGAGCCCGATCCGTAGCCTGTCTGATCCGTTACGCTGTCCCAACTGCTCTACCGGTTCCCAGGATTGCACCACACGAGGACATGGCTCCCACCATCACATGTGGACCAAAGACCAGGGTGGAGACACGGATGTCCGTAAACCCCCGAGCCTTCCCTGTAGGTCTGGATCTGCCCAAGCCAAAAGCAAAGCTAGAGCACATGCTAATGACATTGCAGTATGGCTCGTCTGCATGGGATGGTGGAAAACGAGGGAATGCATGCTGTACAGCAAGTCCGAAGGACTACTCTCGTGAACAGCACAGCCTCGGTTTGCTCTGGATGTGTTTATTAAGACAGAAGGCAGTCATGCTTCAAGGGACAGGCTTTGCGTCTCTCCTCACCAACGACCTGGTCCTACTTTCCAAGGAGCAGCTTTCAACCTCATGAGCAGCGGGTAGGTTCTTTGCTGCTGAAAGAGTCAGGAAAGTCACCCCTGCCCGAGGCCCAGACCATAGCTCCTCCACCGTGAGTCTTCTTCAGAAAACACATCTGTGAAAAGAGAATAAAATGGCTTTGTGCACAGTCCATAAACATTTTAAACTAGCATGCAGTAATACATCCCAGGCAAAGAGTACTGTGCTGGAAAAAGATAGACCTAAAGATGGCCTACAAGACGTGCTTTTGCATTATTAGCCTTGCACCTACTGACACGAAGAAGTTATTTTTGAGCAAGGAGCAAGCTCCATACTGCTAGTTAAGAAGGTGTCCATTAACACAAATGTAGTCTGAAACAGAAAGGTCCTGGCGTTCATCATCATTTGTTTCTGTAGCGTACAACTTGGACCTTAGGGACATACATAAATATATACATACCTTCATGCACACACACACGTACTGATCACAGACTGTAAATAATCTGCAGATCTCAGGGGAAAATTAAGAACAGGCAATATTCATTCTCATTATAACTACCAATCCCAATGCAGATTAGAATTTAGAATTTCTATAACTGTTTAGCTGTTTCTGTAGCAATTTCACCTGCAGTGCAATTTCAATTACAGAACCAAAATATATTCTTCCAGTTTCCCAGTTTCTGTCCCACTGCAACAGCTGCTCAAAGCCTTTTTTCTCTCTACGCATTGGCCCCTTCCCTCACAACCACAAGAGGCTACTTCGCAGTTGCAGCTGTCCAAAAGGGATGTAGTTGCTGATTCTCAATTGCTCTTTGGGTGCGACCTTTCAAAGGAGGGAGTATGACTCACGGGAAACTACTGTCCTAAGGCCTGGCATTTATGGTTCTGTTTCCAGCTCCACTGTCTTCATGGCTGATGCTGCATACCTCATTTCCCTCTATCTTGGTTTTCTAATTAGGAGAAAAATACATGTGTAAGAAAGAAAGGTGTAAAAGAAGTACGTATCATTCTGCAATCCTTCTCCACCAAATGTTCCACCAGTGACTGGAGAAACCTTCTAATAAAGCTTTTGCAAAATTGATGACATTTCAAAAGGCACTTTGTCTTCAGGAACATACTTCTAATGAAACAAAGTTTGTGTTGTTAAATTCCCAACTCTCTCAGCTGCCAAGTCTTGGTGTGGAAAAAGGAAGAGATGCAGAGGGAAGAAAAAGACTTCTTACTGCTCAGTGGGAGCTCTGCCAAGACCCAAGTGAACACACTCTCAGGCTCCATTCACATGCTTTTCCACTCTTTCTAAACTCCAAGGACTCAATTAGTTTTGCTTGTAGGAGATAAAATTTCTTTTATTATGAACATAAAAATTACTATTTTCATTCTACATTCTTCCCCTACCCAGCGAGGGATTTTGTAATTATGAAAAAAGTGTAATCCAAGTAAAGAAAAATAGATATAAATTTTAATATACACATACATACACAATGTATCTCTGTACATTCATTATTCTGTACAACCAAGGCACCAGCAGGAAAAAAAATGCCTCCGTTTTCGCTGAAACAATTCCTCCTCCTTTTTACCTCCTCCCTGGATGATGCCATCTGGGGAAGAGGGAGGCCTGCAAGAACTGCTTAACTGAACTGAGATGAACATATATACATACACATAACTCTGATCTACCCCTTGACTGCAACAGACTTCCTGCACTCAGCTATTACTCTGGGAAGCAAGGAGCAGTCTGGCAACTTGCAGCAGGCAGTCTCTCAGCTGCCTCTCTCAGCACCATGTTTGATCTACAAGAAAGATGCAGTCTTAACTACTGCTTAAAGCAATTTTACACTAGCATGAGTGAGAAAAAGCTGACAGGTAGTAGGGACTACTGAATCCACATCATTTAATCACGCTCGGGAGCCCAGACCAAATAGGAGCCCTTGGTCAAAGCCACCCATATTTTGCCTAAGTAAAGGCTGAATGAAGATTAAAGGAAAGGCCTCCAAAACCAGCTAACGATTACAATACTCCCATCGCCACTCATTTCCACTGCTGAAAAGAAGGCTTCTGCTTGGGAGAGGGAAAGAAGGTGGGGAGGCAGGGAAGAACTACTGTTGATAAAAGCCCATATCTGAGAAAGGACAAATTAAAAAAATGTGATTAAGAGCATGGTCTTGTGGACTGTAATCAATACAGCTTTATTCCATGTTCCAGGATTTTCAGCACAGCATCTTTCAAACAGCTGATGAAGGCTGCGTTGAAACTAACAACAGAACTGAAAAATGGCCTGAAGCAGCCGTTAAATCCTACTGTTTATAGTGCTAGAAAATAACCTCAAAGCAGGGCAGTGTAAACACCACACTTTGCGCTTTTAAGTCAGAAGTGCCGCTGCAGTCAGGAAAGTGAACATAAAATGCCATCTTAGCTCTGTATTTACACTTTGCTCTCTTACCAACATATCAGACGCCTTCAGTTTATAAAAGAAGAGTCTATTTGCTTTTACCTGCCAACAATACAAAGACAGTTTAAAAACAGAAAACCTCTCTGGGCTTTTTCTGTGTGTTACACTTGCTCCTTGGATTGTAAGGCCAGACAGGGTCAACTGCAGAAGTTTCTCTTCTAACCTGTGAGACGGCCACAAATTATGCCCTTGCATTCTGTAGTGCCTGCTGGGAAGCACTAAGCAGCAAGAACCTGTTGAGTCCCTTCGCCTTAGAGAGTAAATCCAGGTGACAGAGAGAAGGAACCAGAGTAAACAAGACAGTTCCTATCTGTAACCAGGTGGCCTTCAATGCTTTTAAGGCAATTGACTATTCACCATTCCAAGTCAGCAGGAGTGGAGGGGAGCACTGCAAACCAGGATGACTGTAGGAGAGAGAGATCACAATTCTGCTTCTGCCACTCTACCAGCCTCATTGCCCCTCTTGCTTTGCACCATGCCTCTCACCCACAGCAGCATGACCCCCCAGGACAGCCAGAGAACTGGGCTCCTCTTCTTCTGAGCAGTCGATGGCTACACCTCACTTCTTTCTGCGGATCTTGGGCTTTTTCACCGGCCGGAGGTAAGGATTGTCAATCACATTCTCCTCCCCATTCCGGCTGCCTGATAGGGAGGTGTTCTGCTGTAGCACTGAAGCATTCTCTTTTTCAGGTCCTGAATCATCCTGTCACGTTAAAAATAAAAAACAAAAAAAACCCAGATGCATAAACAATCAAAGTTAGGCTAGCCATGGTTTGGGAGTTCAAGCACTACAGAGCCTATGGCCAAAATAGGTAAGAAGCAGCCAAGATAAACTGCAGCACAAGGAGCTGCATTAAAAGTGTGGACTTCTGATTTCTAACATAAGTAGATCCTCTTTGGGAACAGTGTGGGAATCTCATGAGACTCCTCTCTCCTCTAACACTAAAATGAAGGCTGCACTGAAAGCACATGATCCAGCATCAAACAACCTCATTATACAGCGCACCCTGCAGAAAGTCAGGGAACCATGACAATGTTAGTCATTTACACCTGGGGAGGTGCTATAAAATGCAACCCATTTTGCCATTTTCCACCCACTCTGCCCAGCTGCAAGGAAGACAGACGAGCAGAATCAGGTTTCATATGTTTAAGAAAGTCAGGCCCAAGGGACCTTAGTGTCTGAGGCTGGTCATACCGTGCTCATGTGCAGGGGGAGGTTCTCTGTGTCTGTCTGGTCGTCTTGTTCAGACGAATCTGTTTCTTCCATTTGCTGCATTTCCAGTTCAGAGGGAAGAAGAGCTGTTAGGTAGGGTACTGTGAAAGGCCTGGCAGCAATCACTAGGGTTGGAGAAAAAGAGAGTCAGCAAGCTGGGAGGAGGCTCCGCAACTCAGAGGCTATGAAGCACAAAGATAATCAATTACTTAGAGACCAAACACTCTCACTGGTTCACGTTTTAAAGCAATCCCTCCCCACCATACACACACACACACACACACTCTTCCTGCCACTCCCAGGGGTCAGGAATGAAATATGAGGCCCTGAAAAAGGGCAGTCTCTAATTTCCAATTTTCTGACTCAAAGCCCTTTTTATGTTTCCAAGCAAGGACACAGCATCATACAAACACAAAAAGTTCCTTCCTGATCTTCATAGTAGTTCAACTGCCTCATTTCCTGAAGCATCACTTAGTCCCTCTTAGGATAACACTTAGGATAATCTGTGCTCCCAGTGAGCTTTGGGAAGGCAAGAATTCTCATCACTGCTTTGCAGACAGAAAAAAAGAGCAAAGGCCTGTCTGTGAGAAAAGGGGAAAACCTGCAGCGTTCACCACCGCTGGCTAGCACAGAAATGTGAAGGCAAGCGAGAGAGGAACTAACTTGCTCAAAGTTACACGGAGGGTGAGACGGGATTGGAATGAGCACACAGGAGGCTTAGAATAGAGCACCTATCAGCCAAGGCCTCCTCCAGCATCAGGAGGAAGAAGCCTTTGGTTAGGGTGGAAGCCTGCAACTTGGCAGAATCAGGTTTGATTCTGAACCCTGTGTTCTTTACCCCTACTTTATCTACTTGTAATAGAAAATTCCTCGTTTCCCTCCTTTCCTTGGCAAGGCAAACAAAACACGATCCTTCAGTGCTCACCTCCTGCAGTAACAGGAACTATAAAGGTATACTCAGCTAGGTAGCTGTCATTAAAGGCACTGTGTCATACATAACTCACATGGGAATGTGCTAACATCATCTTTGAAGAGACTCTGTGTTTCTCCCGTCTTTGCCATGAAACGTGTGAGAGCTCTTTCTACATCACGTCTTTGAGATGCTGCCTTTTCCCGTAGCACCTGATAATCAGAAACTGGCTCCCGGTATGTCTGTGGAGAAGGGAAGGGAAAAAAGTTCAGTTACTGGATGCAGTGTAGCCAACTGAAGTTCAAAACATTACTAGGATGCAGACGCTACAGGCAAACATAGACCTTCAACATGCGCAGCCTTTCAGAGAGCTACAGATGTCAGCCAGCCTAAACTCTACAAGCAAGGGTGACCCATAAACATGAAGCAAGGGAGAAACAATGTCTTGGATAAAAAGTACCAGCATAAAAAGTACCAGCACCATAGTAAAAATACTCATACACTAACTATGATACCATTGACTTCAGATAAACCCCAAATGACACAAGTGTCTTTTTCACTCACTGGCGTCTTGATGTAGGTGTGAGGATCTGGAAACTCAGGGAAGTGGCCAGGGATGTGGGATGGATGTGGCTTGTTCTGTCCAGCTGTGAGGGCTTTGGGAGTCACGGGCTGGTTTGTCACAGGAGCTACAGTTCAAAAAACATGTACACACAGATCAGCCAGCATCATTCTGCCAAGTATCAGCCATAAAGACGTGTTAGCCTACACTGAGCTGTGACCCATGATTCTAGGTCCTGTAAAAGGAGCAGAACGTTTCTCATAAGCAATAGTTGCAGGTTGCGTTCAGCATCCCAACAGGGAACAGGGGTTACTGAAGCCCTCTCTCCTACACAACGAAAACATCTTGAGAGTCTCATGTGCAGTAAGGATGCTGAAGCAAAGACAACTGATTTGATGGAGGGTATCCTTCCTTCACCTATTATACAGTCATTACAGAAATCCTTTAACATGAACTGCACAGCCAGGAGCACTAGACTACATCATCCATCAGAAGAGCAGGAGCTCTCTGGATGTCAGATGGGAACACCAAATTATTTCCAATTTCCTAGGTATGAAGAGAAAGGATTTCCCACGTACGGGCAGTGATGACCATCCTCTGCGAGCGCTTGGCATATGCAGGAAGCGTTTCTACATTGAACCCTGAAATACAAAAGAAGAGGAAACAAATCACACCAAGAGTTTGTCCTGTCAAAAATCCCTCCTCTTAGGCGTAATTCCACTCAGAAAGGAGTCAGGCAGAGTTTTGCCATGGGCTCCACGGTACAGAAGAATGAAAATCAGGTAATGTCTGTTTATATTCGTACTGGATTGACAATAGAGATAGCTGAGCACCTGTACAAGCCCTTCCCTGAACAGCTGGACCATTCTCGCCATCAGTTCCTTTAGCTACCTTTGCCATCTCCACAAGAACTGAAGTTCAGCAACTGTCTTTCCAGCTGAAGAAAGCCAAACGCACAGAAAGCTGGAAGAAAGCAACCCCAAGCTGAGCAGGTGTTAGAGTAGCACAGAGTTCTCCTCCCCTGTCCCAAGAAACTGCCATTCTGCTACACCAAAACCCACCATGTGCAGTGAGGGGCTGCAGCTGTGGGCAAAGGCGGAGCTCAATGCCCATCTCAGAAGATGCCAATATTCACTCAGGACAGTGGGCATCACACAAGCACTAGAAAGATGGGGGAAAGATTTTCCTAGCTAGAGAGCACATCCAAATCCTCTGCAACACAGGCAGCTGGAATTACTGGGACCAGTCAGCTACTCACCCATTTCAACTAGGGTAACCACTATATCAGAGAGTGTCGGCTGCGTTCTGGCTGTATGTTCACAGTAGGACTTGGCACTTCTTCCAATTTCAGAAATATCTGGGAAAGAAACAGCACCATATATTCTTTCCGGACAGTGACCACAGTTTCATATCAGCCCAACCCTGGCTTCGGACACCTGATTTTGAGGGGATTTTTAACAAGTCTGACAAGAAAAGAAGAATAACCCTTGAAATCCAGTCTCATAATTTGCATATTTAAAATTAAAGCACGTGCCAATTATGGAGATAGTAAAGATCAGTCAAATGTTTTCCATAAATGCAATAGCAAAATGTGTGGCATATCAGTCCACAAGCATGAACAAAAAAAAAAGAAAGAAAGAAAGAAAGAAATTTCAAAACTTAATCATCTTTTGATTTCAGTAGAACATGCAAACGGAGATCCTGGGCGCACCACCCAGAAAGGCAGCAGCAGAGTTGCCAAACACAGGCCTAAACTAACCAAGTACCCAGAACTTTATTATTTCTCTATTTATTCTGGTGGCATCTCTATGAAACACGTGGTGCTGTAACTCCCCACTCCACACACCCAGGGACAGGTTTCCAAAGTTGTTTAGATGCCCGATGCTCACCGAGCGAGACAAACGCTTCCGAGAGCGGGCAAGCTGCCTGCCACCTCGGAAGCCTGCGACCCCAGGGGGAGGCTCTGAGCCCCAGCCGAGCTTTCCACT